AAAAAAAAGGAAATTCAGTTAGTTTCTTAATAATTTACTAATTTATCTTTATTTTAAAAAAAAAAATTATTCATTATTTTATTTTATTTTATTATTTTTTTTTTTTTTTAAATATTATCTGTATTCTATATATAATTTAGAATTATTTAATAAATACAATGTATATATCTTTTTATATGTGTTACTATTATTTCCTTTTTTTCTGTATTTCTTATTTTATCTTTTGTTCTACCTTTTTAAAAAATATTTTTAATTTGTTATGCTTTCACTTTAGAACTAGCATATTCAGCTTTTTCTTTTTCATATCTTATTTTATCTTCTTGTGCTTTTTTTTCAAAAGGAATTTTTTCTTTTTCTCCCAATTTATTCCAAGCTTCTCCTATCATTTTACCAACAGTAGCAACATCTTTACTTAATTCTGGATCATTTCTTATTATTTCTGCTCTTTTTTCTTTTGCAAAAAACATATAAGCAGATAAAGATCTTTTTGGTGCATGTGGATCTTTTTTGTTTTTTCTTCTCTTTCTCACTTCTTTACCTCCATTATTTTTTGTTTCTTTGTTTTTTTTTCCCTCCATTTTTTTAATTCAAAAAGCTTTTTATATAATTTTTTTTTTTTTTATTTTTAAAAAAAGATAATATTTATTTATTCATGAAAAATTCAAAAAATATATAATTTTTTTTTCTATCTCTATATATATATATATATTATACATATATATATATATATGTATTATATATATATATATAATATTTATCCAATATATTAATTTTATTACAGAAAATTATATTAATATTAATTTTTTTTACTGAAACATTATATAAATTTGTGTGCATATAATAAATGCACTATATATTTATATTTAAGAATAATTACTTATGTTTTATATATATTAAAAAATATATAATAAAAATAAAAACAAAAAATTTGTATATGTACGTAAATGAGTAGAAAAAAAAAAAAATATTATTTTTTTAATTTAGTATTTTAATTATTTCATGTGTATACATATATATATATATATATATATATATATATATAATATTAAATAGCTAAAATTTAATAAAATAATTTTTTAGTCTTTTAAAACACCTTTTGCATTTTTATAAATATTTATAAACTATTTTTTTTGCTTTATTTTCTTTTTCACATTATATTATAATAAATTTTCTCAATACTTATAATAAAATAATATAGATGTTATAACTCAAATAGCATGTGCATTCATATTTAATAAAGCAATATATACGAAAAAAAAATATATATATAACTGTATATATATATAAATGTATATATATATATATAAATTATATATATATATATATATATATATATATAAATGTGAGCATATAAAATGGAATTATTTACAGTTATTTTTTAAAAATATGAATAAAAATATTAATTAAAAGGTAATTATGAATGTATAAATATTATTATATAGTACACATTAATTAACATAAAAATTACTAAAAAATTAATTTTTTTTAAAATATTTTAATAATTAAAGAAATTAATTTTCTATGAATTTTTTTCATGTTATGAAAAGTTCCACTAATGTATATCTTATATTTTTATTGAAAGTAGAAAAAAAAAATATATGTATTTTTTTTTTTATGTATTTAAAATTTTCTTTTATAGTATTCTTCATGTGCTTTTTTTAAAATATCACGTTAAATATTATATTAAATTTATATATAAATATTAAAATACAAATAATTTACATATTTTTTAAAAACATTAAAGAAATATAGACTTAAATTTTTTGAATATAGAAAACAAAGATTACGAAATTATTGAAAATAGCTTGTTCATAATTTTAAATATTTTTAATTGCTTAAATAATTTATAAGCTATTATATGTTTAGGTTTTCTTAAAAACGTATATATATATATATATATATATATATATATATATATATATATATATATTTACTGTATTTCTTAATATATAAGCTATTTTTTATTTTTTTTTTAAATAAAATTAATAAATACACATTAATAAAAATTTGAAGCATATTTTATGCATGCAATAATATTATTTACTAAACTAATATATTAAATACTATTTTTACTCTTATTAATGAAATAATACTTACATAAACTTACAAAAACAGGTGTATTTTTGAAGTAATTATTAAATATTTATATGCCTTCTTATCTAAATATTATAAATTTATAAAAAATCCGTACATATATTATTAACAAGATGCCATAATTAAACATTTTTGTACTTCAAATAAGGATTATGTAAATTATATTTTTTTTTTACATATATTTATGATATTTAATATATATATATATATTAACTATTACGTCTAAAAATATATATATAATTATTATTATAATAATGAAATTAATTAATATAAAATTAAATACGTTAATTTTACGTAATAAAAATTATTGTAGAAATGCATTTTGTAAAAATGTATCTCATAAAAAGAAAAAAAAAAATTAAGTTAACTTCTTCTATTAATACAATCGAAAAATAAAAAACATATAGTAAAATTCATATTTACGAAACTCTTCTTTATATAGAATGTAAAAAATATATAACATTTATATAAAAATTTTTTTTAATTAAATGAGGAAATGTGAAGATTTTTGAAAAATTTGAAATATTTTTCCTTTATTATTCAACTTTCTACAATTTTTGATGTTCCATAACAACAATTTAAGAGTCTATATAATTAAAATTTTTTTACTTTTCTTCTTTTTTTTTTTTTTTCTTTTAATTTTTTTTTATTAATTCTATAATTCATTTACAGTTTTTCCTAAGTGTTGAATAGTTTAATAAAAATATATAATTTATTTTTCCAAATCTTAATTTATAAAAGTAATTACCTTAAAATAAGGGAGCATATTTTGAGTTTTATTAAATTTTTAAATAACATATATTTAAAAAATTTTCTTTTCACTTTTCTGTTTAACCATATTGGCACATTATAAACAAAAAAAAAAGGGAATTTATAATAAACATTTAAGTATATTTTTAAACTCTAATTATATATATATATAAGTATTTTTAATCTAAAATGTAAAAATAATAATAATACATAAATTGGACAGATTTTTTTGTTTTGTTATAATAGATATATATAAAAGGTAGAATAAAAAGAAACTAAAATTTTTATATTCATTTTAAATTAACATAAAATAAGATATACATTTTTCGTCATTCTTTTTTTTCTCTAATTTTTTATGTGTATTAAAATTAATCTGAATTATGAAAAAGTCTTGTTGAAGTCACCTAGTATAATTAATATTTGCAATATTCACAAATGAAAAATTTTATGCTAATTATATAAAAATGCAATAAAACAAATAATAAAATAGTTTCTAATATTTTACATTTTTTATGGCTTTTAAAATATCTGAAAATTTTTAGAGAAATGCTTAATTGCACATACATGCATATTTATTTTTTTTTTTTTTATGCCTAGAAGAGATCTCTTATTTTTTCTTTTTTTTTTTTTTTTTTGTTTATGTTTTCTTAAAAAGCAAGAATAATTAATTATCTTATAAAATTATTTAACAAAAAATATAGAATCAAAAAAACCCAAAATTTATTTAAAAAGTGCTAGAGTACAAAATATAATATAGGTGTAAAGTCAGAATGAGAAAAGATAAAGTATATTAAAATATAATAATAACAATAATATTAGAAGAAATTTGTAAATAATAGGTAATAAAAGTATTATACATTTATTAAATTATAATTTATATTTATATAAATAAAAATGATATTCAAATTTTAAGCTTCATCAAAATTGTAGAAGAGTTATTTAAAAAAAAAAAAAAAATGTATGTAACCGAAAAATTGAAAAAAACGCAATTTAAATTTAATGTTACTCTTTTTTTTTTTTTTTTTTTATTTTCTTTTTAATATATTTAGGTTAAAATATTTTAATTAATTTATTAAATTTTAAAATATTATAATATTAAAATATTTTATATATATTTTTTATTTATATTAAAGATTTTAAGCTTCTTATATAAGAAACATATATTTTCTTTGTGTAAATAAGTAACTTACAAATGAACAAGCGAATAATCCAAGTAAAAAAATATACATTTCGTATATACTTATTTATAAATAAATTTCCTTGAAATATATTAAATTATTTTTTATTTATTTTTATTATTTTTTTTTTTTTTTTTTTTGATTATTGAAGATAATATAAAAATAGTTTATTGTGTGTAAAAATACTGTATTTTCGAAACTTATCTAAAGATTAATTTACAAAAAATAAATTAAAATAAAAGTTTAAACACATTTGAAAATATTGGAATCTATATATATATATATATATATGGTTAGATTTTAAAATGATTTGTTTTAATATTATTAGTACACTTGTATTATTATTATTATTATTATATTTATTTTTTACAATATATATTTCTATTTCTTAAAAGTAAATTTTTATTAAAAATTAAATTTGTAATATTAAAATATTTGTCTACTACGTGATTTTTTTTTTTCTAATATATATATATATATATATATTTATGTATTTAAAAAAAAAAAAAAATGAGAATGTTAAAAAATATTAAAATAATAAGCTATAGTGCGTAATTATAATAATAAAGTTTTCTATCAAAGAGGTGCACATTTTCTTAAATAGTGATTCCTAAAAACTAATACTTTAATAAGTATTCCTAAAAAAATATATATTTTTTCGAAAAATATTTTCTATGGAAATTTATTTTTGCAAATTGAATTTATAAGAAAAAAAGAGCTATCGGATAAAATATTTCATTTAATATATTTTTTAGCTTTCTATTTATTTTAAAATATTTTTAAATTAAAAATATTTTTTATTATATACAGAAGCAAATGTGTATGATAACAAAATTAACTAAAATCAAACACTAAAAAATTAAAGGAAAAGATATAAGAAAAAAAGAAAAAATATTAAGAATATATTGTTACAATATAAATTTTACTTAAAAAAAAATGTTAAATAATAATATATGAATTTCATATTTAAAAAAAAAAAAAAAAAAAAAAAAAAAAAATGATGACAAAAAAATATCAAAATATTCAAATGAATGATAACGAAATACTAAGTCCTACTAAAAAAGGCATAAAGTTAGATGTAAGTAAGTTAAATATCTTAAATTTTAATAATATTTCAAAAAATGAAGAAAAAAAAAAAAATGAAAATTATATAATTGATTATAATAAAATAAAAAATAGTACACAAGAATTTTATATAGAAATAAATCAAAAAGACGAAATAACAAATAATAGTGCTATAATAAAAAAAGCAAAATATAATTTTGATAAATCGTCATCTTCCGCTTCCTCTTCATCGACATTATATTCATATTCTTCTGAAAGTAATTCATTGATTAATGACAATAATAAAACAAATAAAGAAAAAAATAAAATAAAAATAAATAGTGATAATATCAGTGAAAATATGAAAAAAAAACAAAAAAAACAAATTTTACATCGATATAATTTAAAAAAAAAAAAAAGTGAAGAAGAAACAAAAAAATTCTCAGAAAAAAAAATAAATAATATAAGTGAAATAAAACATGATAAGCATAATTTTAACTTACTGAAATGTGATACAAAAAATAAAAATAACGATGACAAAAATATAAAAATATTAAAAAATGAAAATGATAAAGAATTAATTAAAAAAAACAATTCAAAATTGCTAATGAAAAGAAATAATAAATACATTTCAAAAGATGGAGATACAAATGAAAATATCAAAAAAAAGAAAAGAAAAGAAATGCATGATACAAATATAAATGAAGAAAATATAAATTCGAAGCAAAAAGGAAAAAATTATATTGAAAGTAATAAAAATATACTAAATTTAATAAAAAGTAATACTATTAATCTGGTTAAGGAAAATTACTGCGAGTATGAAGACGGAATAATATACGAAAGTATATTGATAAATGGTGTAAAATATTCCATAAATGATAATGTTATGATATATTATTCACTCAATAATAGTAATGATGAAAACGTTTATACAATAAAAAAAGGGAAAATATCAGGATTTTATAAGAATTTAAATAGTACTAATGTAGAAGTAGAAATTTGTTTATATTATGATAAAAACGATGAAATATATATAAAAGAATTAGAAAAAAAACAGAAATCAAGAAGATCAAAAGGAGATTTTATAGATTTTCTTGATGAAAAAAAAAGAGATTTTTACTTATTAGGAAATGTGGAATTTAAAATATTAGATGCTAAATTAATTTTGAAAAAAATATATGTATATAATGAAAAGAAACTATTTGAAGAAGATATTACTTTAATTAAAGGAAAAGAAAAATTTTTATGTACACATTATTTAAAAGAAAGAGAAGATAAAATATGTGAAATACAAAATGAAGATCATTGGGACAATTTAGTATTAGGTTCCAGTGATTTATATTATTATTTTTCTAATAATAAAAAAAATAACAAAAGCAAATCCTTGAAATTAATAATAGAAAAATTAAAAATAAATGAAGAAATGGATAATGGAAAAAAAGAAGGGACAAATAATAATTTTCATAATTTAGGAAAAACAAGTACTACAACAAATGCTAAAAGTAAAAACGTAAATTATAAGGCAAATAAATCGAAAACATCAACAAACAAAGAAAATGTAAATTTAAAAAATTTTGAAGATTTTAAAGATATATCATTTAAGAATATGCTAAAACAGGATCAAGAAAATTATTATGTTAATTTATTAAGTAATATAAAGGACCCTACTGATAAGGCAATCAGAATGATGCAGTTAGATGTAGTTCCTAAATATTTGCCATGTAGAGAAAAAGAGATAAAAGAAGTTCATGGATTTTTAGAATCAGGTATAAAACAATCGGGTAGTAATCAAATTTTGTATATAAGTGGTATGCCAGGAACTGGAAAAACGGCTACTGTATATAGTGTAATTCAATTATTACAAAATAAAAGTAAACAAAAATTATTACCACAATTTAACGTTTTTGAAATAAATGGAATGAATGTTGTTCATCCTAATGCAGCATATCAAGTTTTTTATAAACAATTATTTAATAAAAAACCACCAAATGCTTTAAATTCCTTCAAAATTATTGACAGATTATTTAATAAAAGTCAAAAAGATAATAGAAATGTATCTGTTCTAATAATTGATGAAATTGATTATTTAATTACAAAAACACAAAAAGTTCTTTTTACTTTTTTCGATTGGCCAACTAAAGTAAATAGTAAACTAGTATTAATTGCTATATCAAATACAATGGATTTACCAGACAGATTAATACCAAGATGTAGATCTCGTTTAGCTTTTGGTCGTTTAGTATTTAGTCCATATAAAGGAGATGAAATAGAAAAAATAATTAAAGAAAGATTAGAAAATTGTAAAGAAATAATTGATCATACAGCTATCCAATTATGTGCTAGAAAAGTAGCAAATGTATCAGGAGATATAAGAAAGGCATTACAAATTTGTAGAAAAGCATTTGAAAATAAAAGAGGACAAAAAATAGTTCCAAGAGATATTACTGAAGCAACTAACCAACTTTTTGATTCTCCTCTAACAAATGCTATTAATTATTTACCATGGGCATTTAAAATATTTCTTACTTGTATTATAATCGAATTAAGAATACTTAATGAATTTATTATTCCTTTTAAAAAAGTCGTTAATAGATATAAAACAATAATAGCAACTAGTGGAAGATATATTGGTATGTGTAGTGATCATGAACTTTTTAAAATTATGCTCGATAAGTTGGTAAAAATGGGTATTCTTTTAATTAGACCTTATATACCTCTAGAAACCTTATCAAATAGAAAAACAAAAGAAGCTCTATTAGGTTTTAATGAATCTTCAAAAAAAGGTGAATATAGAAGTGGTAAAACACAAGTTAGTGCAGATATTGATAAAGAATCAGGTGATATGGGGCTAGAAGTTAACGTTGAGACTCAATTAATAGTTACGGCATTGATGAAAGACCCAGAATGTTCAAAAAAATTGAATTTTTACTAAAAAATTTAAATATATATATGTATTTGTTTTTTCTTTTTTTTTTTTTGAAAATATATGAAAATCAGGTATTTATTTTTAAAATTTTAAATATATATATGGTTACATATATTTTTACTTTATTTTTTTTTTTTTCTTTTTTTTCATTAAAATTTTTTTTTAGTTACTTTATTATATTTTTATTAATGTAAATAATAATATTAATTTTTATTTGTATCCATTAAGAAAAATAAAAAAAAAAAAAAAAAA